AGAGAATATTATAAATTATACACTACTTATACGGAATACTGATTTTAACTAAAATTCATATCTTCAATCACTGTCTCACTCCAAGTAGTTTCAGCAAAATCTCCAACTATTTGGGCTGGCAGTTTGACAAGTAAGCTAAAAAAACAAATAAAGGAAATAAGTAGGTTAAATAAACGTAGCTACTCGACAATTACTTTCCAGAATTTACTCGCAAATAAGCGAGAACAGGTCAGCAAGAAGGTAGCATTGTGATGAGTAACCGCATGACATCTAAGACGAATTTCAAGCTTTATTAATATGTGCCAGTAAGGAAAGTAAAATACCCTGCTGAGGATTCTTGACACCACTAGGATGCTTTTGTTCAAACCTACAAATTTATCTGAAGACAAACTTTGTGCAATATATCCCATTGACTTAGTGTGATCAATTATTTCAGATGTTAGATATCCGTATAATAAGCGCATAGTCAAGTACCCAGGTCGAACAAGGCAGTCACGATCAGGTAGGTTATGCCAACACATATTATTATTTTTATAATTTGTCCCTTGGGTTCCTAGTGGAATGCAGGGCTTCAGTAGCACGTCTCCATTCCACTCTTTTCTCTGCAAACTTTTGAAACTGGCTCCACGGCTGCCACAAGCTCTTATTTCTTTCTCACACGATCTCCTCCACGTCACCCTCAGCTGGGACGACCAACTCATCATTTCTCCTTTGGATTCTACTCGAGTGCCTGGCCTGGTGCGTTATGTTCCCAGTCAGCCTTCTCAGTGTATGTCCATTCCAATCCATCCCTTTCTTCTGCATATTTGTTGGGTTGGTTCGTTGACAGCCAACCAGAATTCCTTGTTGCTTATTCTTTCTGGCCATCCGACCGATCTTCAGTATGGAGCCAGAGTAGGCAGCAGTTGTTGATGAATGTCTTTAGTTTGTTGGAAGTGCGTTTCGTGAAGCGCCAAGTCTCCAAGATATACAGAAGCATTGACGTGATCGAATAAGTGTTGAAAACCAGGATCTTGTTCCACATGCTGAGTGCAGAAGATCTCCACACTGGTCTCAGGTCAATGAACACCTGTCTTGCTATCTTTCCGGACCTGGCTTTGACGTCCTAGTCTATGCCGCCGCCTGTAGTTGAAACAGTGCTGCCTAGATAGGTGAAAGAGGCCATTTCTTAAGTTTCTCCCATTGATGGTAATTTGAGCTTGTTGTTGTTGCTGTTGTTGTTGATTGGATATCCTCATCACCTCTGTCTTCTCTACGTTCCCTTGAAGTCCTGTCTTCGCTGCCCTGCCTCTTCTGTCGACTTGTTGGATTTCGCCTGTAGATCTTCAAGTTTGTGTGACATTAGACACAAGTCATCGTTGGCGAAATCCAAATCTTCTTCTGGGATCTTTTCCCCGGTCCAGCGTATCCCCCTTCTCGCACTTCACTGTTTGTTGCATGATCCGGTCTCGTCCACCACAATCAGGAATATCATGGGTGATAGTAGACAGCACTGTCTTAATGATATCTCCGGTCTTCACTTCACTTCAAAAGCGTCATTGAGCCTCCCATTGTGAATTACTTGGCATCTGGCGTCTTCATATAGCTGGTGTTGAGCGAGGTTGATGAAAGTTTGCTATATTCCGCGGTGTTGAGGAAACTGCCAAATTACTTGTCGGTCGACGCTGTCAGAGGACCTCTCAAAGTCGATAAAGTTGAGGTAAAGATCCGGTTGACTACCATTCTATACTCTGTTGTATGATGATGTGTAGCAAAGCGTTGCAATTTGGTTCGCACATGATTTGTACTTCCTGAATCCAGCCAGCCTGTTCCGGTCGTAGTTTTGAATCGAGTGCATCCTTTAGTCTCTCTAGGATGATATGGCTTAATATTTTGCTTGCTTAAGCTGGACAGGAACACGATTCCTTGCCAGTTCTCGCCCTCCTTAGGGAGACTGACAAGGTAGCCCTTCTTCCAATCAGTCGGCAGGTACCTTCTCTTCCTTCCACACCTTCAGCAATAGTTGTGTGAGCATGTCTGCCGCTGTTGTCTCTGCGTCTGCTCTCAGTGCTTCTGGTGGGATCCCATCTGGTGGTGGTCGATTCAAGAGCTTCTTGAAGTGGTCAGTCCATCGTTTCCCTTACTTCTCTTCTTTCGTAATCAAATTTTATTCATCATCTTTTATTGGTTTCATGTGTGTTGATCTCTTCCCTCACAGACAGTAACCTGGTTATTTGATACAATGTTGTCAGGTCTCTATCTCTCCTACCTACAGCCTGTTCTGCTTCACTTGCCAGTTTTTCCTAGAAGTGTCTTTTGTCTTTGCGAGCACTCCTATTCACTTCTTTGTCCAGTGTAGTGTTTTATATGTTGTATTCAGTTCCTCTTTCCGCTGTTCATCCCTCCACTGGTTTATTATCTTCTGCTTCACCATCACCAACTTCCTCTCCCCCATCTATCATCTTCCATGTGTCTGTCGAGATCCATTCCTTCATTCTCTTCTTTCTTCTTCCTTCATAACACGCCTATGCTGGTCTCCTTCCACACTACTTTCAAAGACTTCCAGTGTTCTTCCACACACACTCACAAGGTTTCTTCATGCATGTTGCTCAATGTCTCCCTTTTGTCCCGATGGCTGGCTGACGTGAGGATGTCACTTGTAGTTTCATCCCTCACCTCAGTTTCTCTTCTGGGTGTTCAACTCGAACTGTGGTCTATCACCAACTTCTTTGAATTCAAGTCTTCCAACTTGATTTTGAGGCAGCTTCCTTGCACTAGACAGTGAAGTGAGTGGTGTGAACCTACATCTGCTCCCCTTCTTCATCTGATCTTGTGTCCAGTAGGCTGCGTCTTCTTCTCCACTTTCCTCACATTGAGATGAAGTCGATCTGAAGTCAATTTTTAGTGTGTCGTGGTGTCCGGTGAAGTCAAATCCATGTGGCTGCCTTGTGAATATTCTTGTGTTTGTGCACACTGCCTACAATCACCAAATCGTTGAATGCACAGAATTCTGCAAACAATTCTCCATTCTCGTTCATCACCTCGCCTAACGCTTCTCGGACCATGACTGGTTCTATTCCTGTGTTATCCGATCCAAGTTTCTCATTCATGTCACCCCACTCATTAGAATTTTGATGTTGCCAACTGAAGTGGGGTCTTGTCCACTGCTGATTGCAGTTGTCTGTAGTATCCCACCCCCCTTCTTCTCTCTTGCTCTGCATTATTTGTAGGTGTGTAGTGTAGCATTGTATGATTGTCACCTTCCTTCCTTCCTTCCTTCCTTCATTTTCAGTTGAATCTTGTTGTCATGATCCTGATCATACAGGAGGAGATTGGTTCCAACTACATGAGAGTCTTCGATACTCTTCAGGACATTATGATAGCCACTCCATAACTCAGTGTGCTTATGGTTGTCATCTGGGTTACAGTATCGAATTGGACTATTGACTGGTCTCCAGTTGACAGTTTTGAGAGTCCACATCCAATCCATCTGCTTTCGCAGATTCCTAACATTTCAGTGCGATACCTTCTCATCTCTTCTGCAATCTGGATAGCCTTGCTAGGTTCAAACATAGTGCGAATATTCCATGTCCTCATGTTTACTCTCGCCTTCATCGATCGATAGAAACACATCGACCAATTGTCTTCCCGAAGACTTCCACCAACCGGCGCCATTTCATCTCTCCAATTCCAGCAAGGAATAATTTCGTTTTTATTTTTTATATTTTGTTTGTGCTTTGAAGTTTGTTTAGCGGTTGGATTTGTTTTACGGAATAGGGTTGCTAGCCCAATGCCCAACTTTCCCTCTTTACCCGGTCTTATGACCGGCTAGTAACTAGTGAACTAGTTAACCAGGCGAGGTTATCTTAGCATATAAAAGCAGCTTAATGTTGAATGATTAACATTTCAAATTTACATAGGCTATTGGGTTCTGACAAACACCTCTCATGCAGAAACGAATCAATCATACATCATTTTAATCACTAATGTTTGGTTATTATTGCATGTTCCAAAAGAGCATACATTTTTGTGCGGAAGTGATAAACATGATTAGAATTTGCGCACTCCTAAGGTTCTTAAGTTTAAGTGTTCTTCTTTTCAGTCCACTAATAAGATAGCCTTCATGTCAGAGCTTATAACATGACAAATTTTAACCTGAAAGTCTCTTCGTCCTATTTTTATACTGCTTATTTATATTTTTTTTAGGTACATTGGTGAAACTACAAGATGCCAAGTTATCTTGAATTTCCTAGAGTGATGATCTATTGTCATGGAATGTCTCCTGATACCAGGATGGTTAAATCACCGATAGACTAAAATGCTAGTGCACGGTAACGACGTATATGACTACCAGCATGAGTATCTATGAAGGCGAAGTCTTTCTATATCATAGGCATATATTTATGGTCTAAAACTTATAGTTAGACAACTTACGCCTTTCCACCCTTCATAATCATATAACTGATCACCACTTCATCATGAATAAGAAGGACAAGGCATATAACAGTGAAGAAATACTTCTTTTCAATCAACAAGGGTATATTTCACCATTATTTTGTCGTCTAACCTTATGATTCCTAACAGTATACTAACCTATGCATTCATTTTTAACTTGCTGGACTCTTTCTAGGTTTAACACCATACAATACGGTACCGAATTCAGTTCACAATTGTTCCAATTAATGACCATTATAAACACTAGTGACAGTCATCACAGGACTAAATAATGAACACCCAAGAATTCACATAGTCATTCAGAAAAAAATATATGGTCAAGTGCTTTGCTTTATTTATACTAAACATCGAAAGTGGATTTTTTTCATACTGTTTAAAAGCAACCTGCAAGAAAATTGATTCATGACCATTTTGGTTTATGCACTCCATAGTATTTAAACTATTCGCATATCTTAAGATATAACAATGTACTGAAGCTATTTTTTTAAAGAAAATAGATTTTCTAAAAAGTTCCATATAAAAGCATCATAATAATTAAACAAACTAAAAAGAGATAATAACGAAAAATGAAATGTTTCTGTTTCTATTTACTGGCTATTTTGCCATTTGTAACAACAGTTAATTCATTCTCAAACTATCAAGGAGATAGTTATGGAAGTAGTGGTGATAATGGAGATCATTACAACACCGGTTATGACTCGAATAGTGGTGATATCTATGGTAAAGATAACATTGGCAAAGTAAACATTGTTGGGAAGTTTTTTGCAGTCGGTAGAGCTGATAAAGGATCAAAATATCAACAAGTTACCTCTTTCCATAAAAGCGGTAGAAATAAACGAAAGTTTTCAAACTATGAAACAAAAGGCAGAGTACACAGTTACGGAAAACAAAATATAAGGGCTAAATTCGGTATTGAAAGTCGAATAAAGAAAAATGGAAAATTTAAGGGTGCTGGAAAACTCAATGGTTTTTATAGTGATAGCTATTTACCAGCCGAATATGGAACAACACCAGCTGAGAGCCTTCTACAGGCAGGTGACTCATCGTACTCACCAACAGCTTATGATTACTATTATGGAGAGAATGGAGAAGAACAAAATCCAGCTGGAAATGGGCCATATAATAGCGGTTCATCCTACTCACCACCAAATATTAACTACAATAATGGAGGAAACGAGGAAACCCCAGATGATAATAAGCCATCCAATGGTGATTCATCCTACTCATCACCAGATTATGATTACAGTAGTGGAACGTATGAAGCACAAGGTGGATCATCCAACGGTGACTCTTATACAGAACACTAGGAATAATAGGAAAAGACCCACTGTATCATTGTGTATGCCAAAGTTACTTATAGCTGTTATACTTTTATTGAACTCTATATAGAATAGTGTCGATAACTTTCATAATGTTTCTACTTTATCTTTGCTGCCGGTGAATATTACTAGAGATAAACACATATGGTTTGGTTAAGATTTCGTTGGCTTTTCAAACACGTTTGCTTCTTTAAACTCCATGGGATACCTTCAAAAGAATCTTAAAATTACATTTTTTTTTAATATGTATTTGCACATGTGAATATGCAGTGATCTACTGCATCGTGTTGAGAGTATAGTGTGCTACTTTTTATCATATCACACATAAATATAATAATGAGTAATAAGTTATACTCAAAATGTCATTCATAAGATACTACTGTAATTCCGTACATTATGTAAAATCAACAAATATAACATAGAATAATATATTAAGCAAGTTCTATACACATAATGATAAAATATTTCTTGGTTCATTATTTCACTCAAAAATACTAGTAACGTGGAGAAAAAGGGAATACACTCTACAACAGATATTTTTTTGATGTATTATGAAAATCGAGATATGGAAAATGCATTCTCTGACGGATTGTTATATTGGCTAATGAAAATAGGCTATAAATTTCCACATTGATGAAAACGATAAAGTGTTCAGCAAATTAGACTACATACTTTAAAAAGCATTATCAATACTTCTTTTCGCTTAGGCAGGCACTCATGAGTATGAGGTATTTGAAGCCCCAAAGGGATTCATATCATTGCATGAAAGTAGAGTGATGTTGTTCAGCATCGCTTACAGATATGTTGTATTTTTGTTAACTCTTTCCACCCCCTCCCTCCCCCCTCAAAATAAGTCAAACATCTATCAATTTAACTTTTTTTTGAGGGAGTTGTGAGGATTTGGAAATATTTTAAGTTGTTATTCATCGTAGACTGACATCAGTTGGAGGAACAAGACAAACTTGAGCTAACAGAAGTTGGAAACATGGGGCATTGGATTCTGACCCAGGGGCTAGTTCAATGGTAACGTGCTGGCCATGGAACCTGAAGGTCGAGGGTTCGACCCCGGGCAGGGTTGTGAGTGCGCACTGTTGAATAGCCCCATACTAGGACGAAACAGCTGTCCAGTGCTCCCAGGTTTCCTTTGCTCCTCCAACTGATGTCAGTCTACGATGAATAACAACTTGAATTCTATCAATTTATAAAATAAGAACAACGATAGGAAAACAAAGTATGAAGTGAAAGCTGTGCAGTTAAATGAATACAATTTGAGCATACAACTTTTGGACGGATAATATATTTCCTTGATGCGAGTAAAGAAGCTTCTTAGTTATTCCACTGAATAAATGCCACCATTTGACAAATGAAGATAATAGTGTGGCCACACTATTTAGTTAAATAAGCATATAATCTATTCGTACAACTGCAGATACCAAGGTAGACGGAAATCCAATAAATGGTTAACCTATTACCACAACTAAGAAGATTCGACTAATGAACTGTTAAGCATTTGCTGCATATGCTATAACATCAAGGACTTATGTTTAGATTGTGTTAGATGTTTATCAAACAATTACAAGAAGTGGCTATCGTTGCTCGGTGGTGCAGTGGAATACGCACTGGCATTTGAAGCGATCGCTCCCGAGTCGCAGTCCCGGTGGGAACAACATCACTGACTCGGAAGCAGGCACATACAGCTGACGAGCCCCAAATAGGACGAAATGCGCATCCTGGATTCCACTGCTAGCCACGATCCATCATCAACATAATTAGAACGCTGACAATACCTAGGCATCCGCACAGGAGCCCATATGCTAATAGAGACTGGTCAATTCGGCCCAATCAACGACGGTATCATATAAAAACAACTATACTAATTACTCTTATAGCCTAAAATTAATAATCATGAAATATTTCTCTTATCACAGATTGTTTAAAAAAGGTAAACCAATATTAATCAAGTTCACACAGTCGCCAGATAAAATAACTGACTAGTAAGAAAGTGAAAACTTAGAGAGAGAATCAAAGGGCATTTTGTTCATCTGTCCACTGCCAATAGACACAGATTTCCTATCAAGTTAAAAAATTAGAAAGATGTCAGCAATTGATGTAGTTGTCAAGTCCCAAATGATCTCCATTAACTGCTCTGTTGATCAGATTCTGAATGTGGCCAATAAGTCAGGTGATGGAACTCTGTAGCATACCATATTTTAGTGTTCCATTTTAGCAGTCAACCGAAAGGAAACTCATGATCCCCTTATTTTATGTTTGTTGGGACTTGTCAGTGAAAGGTAACTTCACTCTTGAAGGAATTATAATTGGCAGTTAAAATCAGTAAGATGAATACTTTTCATGGTCTATCAGGGAAAACAAAACTTTAAAAAAATGAAAATCTGCTTAGTGAATTCAGATAAACATAAATGGCAACAAGTAGGGGAGAGTACTATTGAAATAACGCTAACTATTGAGATACATCAGGTATAGATCCACTAAAATTAACATAAATCATAGTGTTATTTTGGTACAAATACTATTTAAAACTATGAAGATTACCATCAATTTAAAGAAGTGTCGAAATGAAGACTTTAACGGTCATGAAAATGTCGAAAGAAGTGTGATACCTATTGAATTATGATTCATAACAAGAACTTACGGGCCTTCTACCGAAAACTGTAACCATTTTTGAATGATATATTTACCATTTCAGAGATAAGTGTTCCAGACTATCTTACATCCTCTAACTAAGCAAACCCTTCTTATTGTGTTCAATTAGCAGTGTTCCATATGCAGATATTATCAATGTGACGTCCAGCTTTACTGAGTAATGGTCTAATTTGCAGTAACTCAACATTATACAAGGCGGAATATGTGTAGAAGATCAACAATGAAATGAGCTGGGCACATAATGAAACTAACTACTGGAATTCGGATCAATGTAAGATATCAAGGTAGCTGTGCTAATGAAATCGATTATGAACCAAAGAACTTATATTCCATGAGCCTCTACTCTGTGTACCACGAACAGCTAAATCAAAAGATTTCATTACCTAATATCACCTGCTGAGATGAATGATGGAGTGGTAAGAATAACATACTCCCCAGCTGCCTCGTATAATTTTATCAGCTGACAAATAATATTTATCAAAAACTCTAGGTTCAACATCTGCATATCTTGCATGTTGCTTGTACAATGCTGCGAAGTTAATCGTGATCAGATACCTAAAGCCTTTTTGTATCTTGTTTGTTTAATGAACATGTTTCACAGCCGTGAACCACACTTATTGCCTAAAGATTAATAATAATACTTTTCTACTCAAGACTAAGTAGATGGAAGAGTTTTAAGCATGTGATCGGCTTTTAGTAAACCAAATGTTTGAGCTAAGAAGCTGCCTTTTATCATTTACAGATTGTTCTAGCCACTTCGTTGGTATGGATTCTTCCTAACCTGAAACCTATATTAATTAGTTCTCTTTTTAGAAAAATGATTGACTAAGCGAAGAAATATATTCCTTTTTAATTAGATCTTCGTCACTTTTACAAACCTAAACTTTGTACTCATAAGAGGTTTGTTCAACCACTTTCATTACCATGGCCATCTACATGATTTAACTTCTAGTATTACTTTGTACACCTCTTGTTTCTATCAATGTTCATTTGTTTTCTTAACAATTCGTAATTCGGAGGTAGTATTCATCATGGACTGAAGTCAGTTGGGGAACCATTGGAAATCTCGGAGCACTAGACAGCTGTTTTGTTCTAACATAAGACTCCTCGGCAGTAGGCACGCACGACTCCGATAGGGATCGAACTCGGGAACTTCAGGTTTCACGGCGAACGCGTTAATCATTCAGACACTGTGTCGGAGATCAGTGGTTCACAGTTCCCAACGTCTACCAATTCACGCTATAGCGCGACTACCACCCAAGGCCTTCAGTTGGCATCCTTTCCTTTCCGACTGGTTGACTCCACAAGTCACAGCTTCTCATTAGAACTTCGTGATATCCATCTGGAAGCATGTCACTAATAAGCCCTAAATAGTGATCTATTTTTTGAGATGAATGGGGATTGTAATTTAAAGGTGGTATTCATCACGGACTGATATCAGTTGGCGAACCATTGAAAGTCTGAGAGCACTGGACAGCTGTTTCTTTCTAGTATGCGACTCCTCAGCGATGGGTTCCCAACTAATGTCAGTCCGTGATGAGTACTACCTCTAAATTAAAATCCTCCTTTATCTCGAAAATATCCTATTTATTGTTTGTGACTACACACTTGTCAAAAATCACTCCATTTACCTATGAATAACCTGCTTCATCTTATTAAATTTAATTACTCGACTGATTATTTACATCTTAATTTCTAAAACTTATCATCTTCACAACTTTTTCTTAAAATCTGTGATTATTACTCACCAACTCCCCACCACTTGATTGGTATTTTGATTGAATTGTAAACCTATATATTAATGTAGAGCCCAAGATGAAGACTTAAATGAAAAGGAATATACTTCACTCAATCAGTCTTTGTTCTAAATGTCTAAATGGGAATATTCAAAGTTTTCTTTTTGTCAAAAAAAGGTTTGATAAAGACTAATGATGCATTTTCTACTACTCATATATGCATCATAAAAATTAGCGCAATATACCCACTTTATTACTAACAACAATAGAAGTTATCACTATTTATTGACATACTTGTAATTCTCCGATGTTTTATTGGATCGAACTGTTCGACCTCTATCGGCATATGGGCTCATATGCGGATGTCTCAATATTGCCTCAATGTTAATTATGATAATTCTGCTTGGTTATAGCTAGCGAAAGAATTCAGGAAGAACAGTGGATGATGCCTTGGCGTTTAAAGAGATGAGTATGAGTTTCAGGTCTCAATGGGAACAGTATCATTCACTGGGGTGCAGGTACATCCAGCTGATGAGTCCCAAACAGGAAAAAAAGTGCATCCGGGATACTTCTGCTAGCCACTACCAAACAAAATTATCACAACAGAAGTGTTAACAAACAACCAACCTCAAAAAAAGTATTAGGCTGTATCTAACTTTGAGAATATTTAGAAACTGAGGATAGATGCATGTCGAATAGTTAGTAGATTTACGGGATAAGCAGTTTTCAGACCAATATTCAATGGAATAATAATACATTTAGAAATCAAAACGTATGACATGTTATCAGTTACACTAAAAAGTGGAGTGACCATCGGATAAATCATAACGAATGTTAAATATGAGGTAAATTAATAAACTAACGTAAACAAATTGAAGTGGATAATAAATAATATTTATTAAAAGATACAAATCTTTAGAACCAATTTTAATGACTTTGAAACTACTGGACGACCGTGTTAGTGAACTGAGATATTTTACCCGCAAATAGAGTCTCAAATTCTTGATTAATTGTAACAGTTTTAACGGGTTGAAGAAGATGAATTTACAACTAGTAGTGGTAATAATGGTGACAAGGTTAAGAGAGATTTCAAAGCATCTACTGTGTTACAATACAAGGAAGGCACCTCACAAGCATTACAAAGAATTCTCAATAAGGCTGACTGGGATTAAAGTAGCACTCAAACCAATAAACTCACTCAGAAACAAGCCTTGTAAGTTAAAAGATCCTAACAATGCGATTCAGTGAAATAATCTGGTTTACCAGATCCCTTGCACTGATTGTGAGGTCAAGTACATAGGTCAAAGCAGTCGACGAGGATCGATTGGAATAACAGAGCACAAAAACTGAGCTAAATCAAGATTAGTGGATCCTAATAAGATAAGAAATTGAGAGAGAAGCTCAGCTATAGCTCTGCATGCGATGACACACTATCACATAGTAGAGTGTGATAGGGTGACAGTGTTGAAAACTAACTTAGTTGGTTGGAGGGAGGGCGAGATTGATAACCGAATCTTTGTTTATCAAATCAACACCAAATACGTGCAATCGGAATGATTCTGCACCTATCCCAGATATATGGAAAATTCTACTAGCCTTGTCATCACAGAGAAGGAGAGAAAATTAGGAATATGTAAAAACTGTCTCGAAGTTGTGGAGTTAGTTACCTGATATGAATATGGACAATAAATTATGTCCGAAATGTTATCCGGTAAATGATACTGTTTCATTGTGTGATATTTCTAATAAACAGACTAAAATGGAATAAGGCGACAAACCAAACAGAAGGGGAATCGATTGGGTAGCGACACGGTAACAAACCCTGAAGTGATTGGAACATACAGCATTTATTTGGCGATAGTGTACTGAGTTGTTTTTGGGCTTTAAGGTGACCGATTTCAGTGGAGTGGCTATTAGTGGATGTATGTATGTGGGTGTGTTTATATATATATATAAAGCTACTGAAATGGGATCCCGCCAGAAGCACTGAGAGCAGACGCAGAGACAACAGCGGCGGACATGCTCACACCACTATTGCAGAAGGTTTTCAAGGAAGGAAGGGAAGGTACCTGCCGACTGATTGGAAGAAGGGTTACCTTATCAAACTCCCGAAGAAGGGAGACCTCAGTGTTTGCAAGAACTAGCGTGGAATCACTCTCCTGTCCACCTAAGCAAGCAAAATATTAAGCCACATCATCCTGGAGAGACTAAAGTATGCACTCGATTCAAAACTACTACCGGAACAGGCTGGCTGGATTCAGGAAGTACAAATCATGTGCAAACCAAATTCCAACGCTATGCTACACATCATCATACAACAGGGTATAGAATGGTAGTCAACTCAATTCTCTACCTCAACTTCATCGACTTTGAGAAGGCTTTCTACAGCGTCGACCGACAAGTAATTTGGAAACTGCTTCCATACTACGGAATACCACAAACCTACATCAACCTCATTCAACAAGTATGTGAAGACGCCACATACCAGCCAAGTAATTCACAATGGGAACAAAACTCAGTGATGCTTTTGAAGTGAAGTGAAGTGAAGACAGGAGTGAAACAAGGTCGCCTGCTATCCCCCATGATATTCCTAATTGTAGTAGACTGGATCATGCAACAGACAACTGTGAGGAGTGAGAAGAGGGGGATATGCTGGCTGGACCGTGGAAAATCACCTAGAGCACTTGGATTTCGCCAACGATGACTAGTGTCTGATGTCTCATGACACAAACTTGAAGATCTACAGGCGAAAACTAACAAGTTGACAGAAGAGGTGAGGTGAGGCGAGGTGAGGCAGTGAAGACAGGACTTCAGGTGTATATAGAGAAGACAGAAGTGATGAAGATACCTCACCAACACCTCCAACAAGAACAACAAACTCCAGTCACCATCAACGGGAGAAACTTATAGGAAGTAACCTCCTTCACCTATCTAGGCAGCACTGTTTCAACTACAGGTGGCACAGACGAGGATGTCAAAGCCATTCAGGATCGGAAAGACAACAAGACAGGCATTCATTAGCCTGAAACCAATGTGGAGATCTTCTGCACTCAGCATGTGGAACAAGATGCGGATTTTCAACAGCAATATCAAGTCAGTGCTTCTGTATGGTTCAGAGACTTGACGCGTTACGAAAGTCATTTCCAACAAACTACAGACATTCATCAACAACTGTCTACCCTCACTCGTTACTGAAGCTCAGATGGCCAGAATAATAAGAATAAGCAAAAAGGAACTCTGGTTGGCAACGAATCAACCAAGAACATATCACTCAACAAATATGCAGTTGAAGGAAGTGGAGATGGATTGGGCATACACTGAGAAGGCCCACTGGGGACATCATGCGTCAGGCCAGGTACTCGAGTGGAACCCCGATGGGAAGCGACGAGTTGGACGTCCGAGAGTAACACGGAGATGGTGCGAGGAGGAGATGAGAGGTTGTGGGCTGTCGTGGAGCCAGGTTCAAAACATTTCAGAGAACAGAGTGGAATGGAGACGTGCTCGTGAAGCCCTATGTTCCACTAGGAACCCAAGGGACTAATAATAAATATAAATAATATAACTTTAGACTTTTCTGTGGTCTCTGTTTCTTTTTTCAGTCTTTTTAGTCGTCCTTAGATTATTATGAAATTCAATCCGCATATTAAGGTTATCTTAAACAGAGTAAACAAAAACCAGTAAGGGTTGAAGTTTTTATTTGTATTTTTAAAAATAACCAGTGAACATAATTCACCCCTGCCCATTAAAATGAATTATGATTTCTTATGTTTTTTATTAGTATACTGGTCAAAACATGAGTTTTCTGCAAAATTATTCTTATCTCTTCTGTTATCTACAAACTTTGTGCTGTTATCTTCGATGTTCACTTACTCGTCCCTGTTACCATAAGATTGTTCATCGTAAGATTCCTGATTTCCATCCTGACGATCCCGTCTCTCACCCTCTGGATCCATTTCATCCCACTGATAGTAAGCATGATGATGATTGTTGTGTTTATTGTCCTTTTTAAAATATAACCAATAATCATTATATCTACTATCATAATCTGTGTTGTACCAATCGCCTAAAGTATACTCATGTCTCTTATAAATATCGTCTTCAGTTTCATTATAATATTTATTATTATAAGAATGTTTTGCGTAGTTTGAATATCTTCCACCTAGTTCATAAGGTCTATGGTAATTGTAATTTCCATACGAATCAGCATTATAGTCATAATATCTATCATAAGTATCGTACGGTTGATAACGATGTCTATCAAAACCGGAATCTCTATTACCCATATTACCAGGCATGTGCTGTTGTTCTTCTTCTTCATACTTATAGTCACCTGGGTATCTTATATTGTCTTCTGGTTTATGCTCACCACTTTCTTGTCCAGGATGACCATAATTTTCTGCATCTTCCAAGTACCTTCCATTGTAGTACCCATTGTTGTATCCATGATCATAATGATAGTTATAATTATCAAAGTAATCAAATACTTCGCCTTGAAAATATCCATCTGAATGATAATGTTCATGATTAGGTCTTAGGTTGTTTTTACTGAGGTACTCAGCAAAATGTTGATCATCATGGTTTTGTGTTGATCATTCTCCTGCATATTTTCGTCTGCTTCAGTATAACTTAACTTTCTACTATCATCATAAGGGGGATAGTGTTCTTGCTTTATGTTTTCTTTTCCATACTGTACTTCTTCATGTAAATCATAGTAATTTCTATGATTGTATCTGTTATACTTTGGATGATAATAATAGTAATAATTGTTATATGAGTAAAACTGTTCATCCAAATCTAAATCACTATCATCCGTGTAATACTTCTTAACATAATGTTCATTACGATTATCATCTACAGAATTATACTCATAATTTGACTGAGATTTCCTGCATTCACAGACAAATGATGAAAGAATAATTAAAATAAAAACATAGAATAATTCCATAATCTGTTTATTTGTTTTAACCGCTTAAATTATCGCTTTTTCACTATTGAGCGTAATTATATAATAATTATCATGAACTTTGAAAACAACTATAGAATTCAACACTTTTATTTATTTATATATATTTTCGTTGAAAAGGGCACTGAATATTTCGCAAAAAAATGAAATGCACTGAAATTAAGACAACTGCATATTTCTTTAAGTGAGATCAAATTAATGCGTTTCAAACAAAGAATACAAAATGTTGATTCAATTGGAAATAAGAAATTATAATGATTATTGCTTTGATAAAATAGTATATAGTTCATTATTACTTTACTTATATCTAAATTACTGATTAAAATCTACAATTGGGTTCTATATACTGAGGCATTAACATTACTGTCAGTCTTATCAACGATAGGATCTGAATAACTGATTTCCTTTGGTTTAGAAATCATCAACTAGTAGCATTTGCTTCATGTTTATTATTCCCCGTTAGATGTGGATACAACGTGCATTATGTTAAACATGAAAACACCAGCTATTAAGCTACTGACTTACCCTAACAGCTGAGTTATCAGCTAGCTACATGGAGTTTAGATAACCGCCATCTACTAATACGCATACATTTATATAAAATGTAACATTGTTACTAGGTGGATTGGGTATACTCGTATCATAGGCAAATTTGCTTTGATCTTTTTTCTTATAAGCGCTTTTATTATTTAAACAGTATGTCTAATGTCTTAATTGCTGAGGCTCAACAATATTTTTGAAGGTTTTTTACATATACTGTCTTATTTTAGGACAAAGATTTTGATGGATATATATATCGGCACAAACAGAACACGCCATTTTTCGTCCCACTGAAATGTTGGATAGGTAGAATTTATTTAGCAAACACTCAAGTTACATTTCAGCTGACTGGTTAGATGTAATATACAATAAAACACTGTTCTTTACCGCATACATTTGATATGAGAAATGAAAACGAAATAGCACCTTTTCAACGTTTAAGTCATATCAAACATTCGGAATGTTTTTGTAATTTGTTAAAGTAATCGAAATTAACACCAGTGTTTAAAGAATCAGTTATACAGTCTCTCAACTCACTTATCAAACAGCACACTTGAAAAGTATCCATGAATAAGCGATAATATAAAGGCAGACAATATGGGAAACTTCAGTCTATTTTTTCTGAAATCGAAGATTATTTAGTAATTTTAGTCTCATCATAATGGTAGGTAAGTTAAGAGAAGATCAATTCAGATGAACACTCAAATTTTGCGCCAAATATTACCAGTAAACTTAGTTCATTTAATGTCTCTTGTTTTGAACAAGCACTTAGGATCAAGGAGAAGAACTACATTAAAGGATTTTCACTTTTCTCACTTCCTCTGTGTATTTATTTATTCAGAAAAAGAAAAATATGTTATTATTAATAGCATCATTTTGCTAACAATAAGTTTTATTATAATCTTATCATCTTCCGAAAATAAAAATGCTCTCCGCCAGAATATTCTGAATTTTTTAAAATTAGAAAACATATACTATCAAGTAGTACACATGTCGATTTGTGCACCCAAATGATGAATATTTTACAAACTGTTGGTATTTATCCTGTTCATCCACAGGACTTATTTGCTTCAAGTAACACTTTATTTACCCAGTTGAAACTAGTTTTTTTGTAACATACACTTTAGGAAGCTAAAAACATGACTAAACTCAGTGTTTGTGTTACATGTTTACATTAAATACGTAGCTTTCAACGGATTATGACTGAGTGTTAGTGTCCACATTATGCTAGCTATTTAAGGGATTCATTGAATTTTTGCATTTGATGTCGTCAAGCAGGTTTAGTGAATAATTCGTTATAGCTGCCACATTAGATCTCTTTCCATAAACTTTCGCACACACCTGATTCCAGCCTTCCGCGATTTCATCCAACTATCTCTGTATCACCCCCAAGTTGTATCATGAGATGGAAATACTATCATATATATATGTATATATATATCCTTATTCAAACTTTAACAGAATAACTTAACAGTACTAGTGATAAAAGTCAAGCTTATAATTTTGCATCAACCAAGTCGAAGCAGTTTATGGCTTCGTTACTGACCTTGTCACGTAACCGTACATAAATGTAATTATAAACTCAAAATGGTTTTCTATCATCTCATTGAAAACGTACTCCAGAACTTTTTTGTAAATCTTCATCTCTGATTGGACTGAATTGGTATATATGCCGTATACCAATAGTGAACCGTCAATTCAGTCCAATCAACAATGGAAACTTGCAAGCTCTAACATCAAAAATTCATATTATACTCGCTGCACAAGGAGTGGATATTGTGACTTACTGGCTTAGTGCAAAAAGCTCTAGAGTTCGAAGTGATTGGTCTTTGGTTCGAGTTTTACTGGGAACAACTTCGCTTAATAAGAGTCAGATATATTCAACTGGCGAGTTTAACATAGGATGAAACGTGTGTCCTGGACTCCACTACTAGTCACTATGCATAATTAGTACTCCAGAAGTTTCTGAGGTCAGTTTAGACACAACTGTAGCTTACTGCAACGTTCCAGAATGCGACTGAGATAAGTGTCTGCTATTATGCCACCATGAACTCTATATTCATGCTTTTGGCTATCACATTTTCTATGTAGAAGTAGAAGTTTGCAATTTGTGTGTTATGATAGTTTATACGATTTCTTTTCGTTTACCTCGGGATGAGTAACCAGATCATATGAATGCAATTTATTTACGTATTAATGTAGCAATTAACATAGCTAACACTAATTCGTTTTAATCGACATGACCTTCTTCATAGCTATCAAAGTATTTAACAAGACAATCCATAAAGTTTCGAAAGTTTATAACATCTAACTCTTTTCTATTATCTTTCTTACTCACCCCTAAATGTGAGCTGCACATGAGATAATTAAAAAACGGTTATACTGATAGGGTTTATTTGTCTGTTTAGTTAAATTTACAGGTTATTGTCTTTCGTTTAAGCGTTAGAAATAATATAGACTTATCAAGTCCATTATCAAATTAATTGTAATGGTAAAGGTTATATAATTATCTGTTCCCTCCGCCAAAATGACTATCTAATGGTAGTTACACTTTTCTCTGTTTTGCATGCTGAACCAACGTCACCTTTTGCTGGGCCTTTTCCATATCAGTTTCTGTCTTCTTATCGGATTCCCCAGGCATATCCATATCCAGGTCTAAAGTTTTACGCTCATCATTCAATTCATCATCATCATTCTCATCTCCCATAAATGATGAGCTATCATGCTTGAAATTAACCCATTGATCAATTTCGTCATCCATACCATTATTTTTACTACCACTTTTCTTAATATTTGAGTTTCCTTTGAAACTTTTGGGTACTGATTTGTTTATGTGAATATCTTCTGCCTTTGTACCTATCTTCTTGGCTTTTTTATTTTTTCCCAAACGAAAACTACCGAATTCCTTGCTCATTTCATCATCATCATCATCAACATCATCATCATCATCATCTTCATAATCTGATGAATTAAATTTTGGATCTCCATCTGACTTGTATTTAACAACCCTTTCTATTTCAATTACTATATCCGCAGAAATACATAAAATAATTACGAAAAGAAAGTAAACAAAACATTTCATGTTGTGACGTTTTCCTTTCGTCAATTTAATGTGTTGACAACATTGAACATGAATAAATAAACAATGAATTCAAAAGTTTAGACTGAATTGCCTATCAAAAACTATAAATCTGAACTTCTGATTTTTTGTTTTCCAGTAATGCGTATATTTATATTTGCAAAGTACAATCATGTGACAAAAACGAAGTTTATAAAAGATTTGGAATTATTATTATTATCATTATTATTATTATTATGTTGTTGTTGTTGTTGTTCTTATTGCCGTTGTTTGCATTAGTTCGTCGCTGATTGGACTAAATTCGTCGGCCTCTATTGGTTTGTAGGCTTCAATGCGGATACCTCAGCATTGCTTGTCGTTTCAATTTTGATTTTAATGATGAATGGTGGCTAACAGTGGAATTCAGGATGCGAGTTTCTTCCCATTCGAAACTCATTATTTAAATGTATCTGCAAATCTCAGTGGAAAATCTCGCCCGGTGCACTAGTTCACCGGTCATAAGTCCCGATAAAGAGGGAAGATTGGGTATACGGCTGGCAACCCTGCACTGGAAAACTAATCCAACCGTTAAACAAACTTCAAAGCACAAACAAAATACAAAAAAAAAAACAAATTCATTCTTCTCTCGAATCGAAGAGACAAAATGACGCCAGTTGGTGAAAGTCTTCGGAAGACAATTGGTCGATGTGTCTTCTATCGATCGATGAAAGCCAGAGTAAACATGGGGACAAGGAATGTGACCACAATGTTTAAAGCTAGCTGACAAGGCTGTCCTGATTGCAGAAGAGATGAGAAGTTATCGCACTGAAGTGATAGGAATTTGCGAAAGTAGATGGGATGGAAGTGGAATCTCAAAACTGTCAACTGGAGACCAGTCAATAATCTACTCGGATATTGTCACCCAGATGACAACCACAAGCACACTGAGTTATGGAGTGGCTATCATGATATCCTGAAGAGTATCGAAGACTCTCATGTAGTTGGAACCAATCTCCTCCTGTAGGATCAGGATCATGACAACAAGATTCAACTGAAAATGAAGGAAGGAAGGAAGGAAGGAAGGTGACAATCATACAATGCTACACTACACACCTACAAATAATGCAGAGCAAGAGAGAAGAAGGGGGGTGGGATACTACAGACAACTGCAATCAGCAGTGGACAAGACCCCACTTCAGTTGGCAATATCAAAATTCTAATGAGTGGGGTGACATGAATGCGAAACTTGGATCGGACAACACAGGAATAGAACCAATGATGGGCCGAGAAGCGTTAGGTGAAATGAACGAGAATGGAGAATTGTTTGCAGAATTCTGCACATTCAACGATTTGGTGATTGTAGGCCAGGCAGTGTGCACAAACACAAGGATATTCACAAGGCAGCCACATGGATTTGATTTCACCAGACACCACGACACACTAAAAATTGACTTCAGATCAACTTCATCTCAATGTGAGGAAAGTGGAGAAGAAGACGCAGCCTACTGGACACAAGATCAGATGAAGAAGGGGAGCAGATGTAGGTTCACACCACTCACTTCACTGTCTAGTGCAAGCAACCTGCCTCAAAATCATGTTGAAAGGCTTTAATTGAAAGAAGTTGGTGATAGACCACAGTTCGAGTTGAACACGCAGAAGAGAAACTGAGGTTAAGGACGAAACTACAAGTGACATCTTCACATCAGCCAGCCATCGGGACAAAAAGGGAACATTGAGCAACATGCATGAAGAAACCTTGTGAGTGTGTGTGGATGAGCACTGGAAATCTTTGAAAGTAGTGTGGAAGGAAACCTGCATAGCCGTATTAGGAAGGAAGAAGAAAGAAGAGAATGAAGGAATGGATGTCGACGAACACATGGAAGCTGACAGCGGCGAGGAGGATGGTGAGGCAGTTCAGGAATGAACAACGAACAGAGAAACTGAACGCAACCTACAAAACACTATACCAGATAAAGAAGTGAATAAAAGTGCGCGCAAAGACAAAAGACACTTCTAGGAAACACTGACAAGTGAAGCAGAACAGGCTGCTGTTAGGAGAGACATCACTATATAAGATAACCAACTCAGATTAAACCAGTGAAAGATAATGAAGGGAACCTAGTCATCATCAAGGAACGGAAACAAAGGAAACGGTGGACTGGCCACTTCAAAAAACTCTTGAATCGACCACCAACTGCAACTGGTTCAGAAATACCACCAGCAACTCAGCCACGGAACTGTAAGTGAACACAAGCCCTTCGACAAAAGCAGAAGTGAAGTTCTGGACGCCATGAATTTGCTGAAATTTGTCAAAGCAGGAGGATTAGATGGAATTCCTCCAGAAGCACTGAAAACAGACGCAGAAACAACAGCAGATATGCTCACACCATTATTGCCTAAGGTTTGGAAGGAAGGACAGAAAGTTTCCTGCCGATTGGAAGAAGGGCTACCTTGTAAAACTTGCAAAGAACAGTAGGCGACCTAAGTCTTTACAAGAACTGACGCGGAATCATGCTCCTCGTCTATCCACTCCAAACAAAATACTATACCGCATCATCCTGGAGAGACTAAAATATGATCTACATTCAAAACTACGATCGGAACAGGCTGACTGCCTTGCTGACTTCAGGAAGAAAAAATCATGTACGGATCAAATTGCATTGCTACGCTATGCATCATCACAAGACAGTCAACCGGATCTTTACCTCAACTTTATCGATTTTAAAGTGGTATTCAATAGCGTCGACCGAGAAGTAATTTGGAAACTGCTCCAACACTACAATTTTAGTGCCACAAACCTTTATCAAACTCATCCAACAGAAGCGGTATGCTATACGATGCTACATGTCAAATGATTCACAATGGAAAGCTCAGTGATGCCTTTGAAGTGAGGATACGAAGGAATAATACAAGGTTGCCTACTATCACCCATGATCTCCCTGATTCTGGTTGACTGGACTGACAGACAACTGACCGACGGACATCTATGAGGGGCGAGAAGAGGTGTATACGCTGGCTGGACCGATGAAAAGGCTGTAAGCGTTTGGGACTTCCAGATGACGATTTATGTCTAAAGACTTGTCGTACAAACTCAAAGATCCACAGACGAAGACCAACAAGTTGACAGAAGAGGCAGCGAAGACGACACTTCCTTTAAGTGAATGTAGAGAAGACGGAGGTGACGAAGATACCTAACCAACAACAACAACAAGCCCCAATCTCCATCAACGGAAGAAACCTAAAGGAATTAGTCTCTTTCACCTACCACCTAGGCAGCATCGTTTCAAGTCACTGCTTCTATATGGTTCAGAAACCTGGCGCGTCACAAAAAGCATTTCCAACAAACCACAAACATTCATCAACAGCTGCCTACGCTCGATACTGAAGACCAGATGGCCAGAATAATAAGAATAGACAACAAAGAACTCGGGTTGGCAACGAACCAACCAACAACTCATTGCCCAACAAATATGCAGAAGAAAGTGGGAATGGATTGGGCAAGCACTGAGTAGACCGACTGAAGATATCACTCATCAGGCCAGGCCCTTGAGTGGAGTGGAACCCAGATGGGAATCGACGAGTTGGACGTCCGAGGCGAGGTTGACATGGACGAGATCATTTGAGGAGGAAATGAAAACTTCTAGACAGACTTGGAGCCAGGTTCAAAAGATTGTAAAGAAGGGAGTGGAATGGCAAAGTGTTACTGAAGCCCTATATTCCACTAGGAACCCAATAGGCAATTAATAGTAATCTCAGTGGAAACAACATCGCTCACTGAGATACAGGTACATCCAGCTGATCTGTCCCAAACGGGATGAAACCCGAGTCCTGGATTCCACTGCTAGCCAGTAGCCATCATTAATATTATTATTGTGTCAGATTTCTATTCCGCTAAATAAAAAGTAACGGGTTGTTTGTCAGTAACCAGCACTTCAGTCAACTTGGATCTTTCACAAAAGAAAGTGAAATTCAAGTAATTCCTGTTGCAGAGCATTTTATGTGAAATCACAATTGTACCTAAAGATGTGTGACGTCGTAGTCCGTTGATATTCTCCAGTTAACCCTAATGGATTAGTGAGTTGAGTCCACAAAATGAAAGGAAAATGGCAATAAGAGATCAATCAACTAAAATGAAGTGAACATTAATAATGGCTATTCTTTCTTAGTATCTTATGCTAGTAGCATAGAAAAATTTCTAGAACAGAAATAGAAATATAGTAGAAAAGAGTTGGACTGATTTCGTCCAAATATTTTAGCAAACTACAGGATTGAATTCTCACTAAGTTTTAGAATTTACTTAATAGCTAGCAGTTTCGTCTTATTTGGGACTCTTCAGTTGGATGTACCTACACCCTAGTGAGTGTTGCTTCCACTAAGACTTGAATTCAATACCCCTCGCTCCAAACTCCAAAGCGTTATCCACTAGGCTACTGGGGTACGAGAGCCACCACTTGCACAATAGGTATCAGTTGTCGTTTATTGATACTTATGATTTCACATCGAGTGGTATTCCTCGATTTCTGTTAATAAATGCGTTCTTATGCAGAAGCCTCGATACTACCTGTCTATTCATTATATTATAGTTCATTGTATTTTCTTGAGGCATGCACAGAGGTCAACCAACTTGACTCCGTATGGTGACAGGAAATTAAAAATTTCAGTACCTGTGTTCTGATCAAATAGAAGCATAAATAAATATCTGAAGTAAGACTGATGCTATCTCGACTTCTAGCCTAGTTGTCTTCTGTTGTCTATAAATGCTATGACCGGTAGTATGCCTTAACAGTCTACTAGCGACACCAGCCTAGCAGACTACGAACGATACGAACCTAACGCGCAAACAAATCGACTCTAACGCAAATCAGGAAGTCAACCACCACCGTAACAATACCACTGAATCACAAAGACAAGAAGAGAAGACGGGCCGTTGACAGAGAGTTTCTATTGTTTCAACAACAGTCAAAACAGTTGACAATGATGCTGAATATATACATTCCTAAATGACCTTGACTATATTAAATCCACATGTAGGTAAAAATAGTTAGCAACCAATGCCTGTTGAGCCTTGAGAGCAGACGCAAGAAAAACTAGCAAGAGTGTGAAAACATTCATGTAGCTTATTTTAGGGTCATGAGCAGAACAACAGGCAAAAGATATGCAAAAAATGAACATATACATCAACAAAATTTCGGTAACTGTCTTTTCGGGTCATTTTGGAAATGTAC